TACACGGACCTTCGCGAAGCCAGGACGCACGAGGGCTGCCCTCGCTGGGCCAGAGGGACCCCACAAAGGGACTGTCCCCTGGAGTCACTCACAGGTCCCCCCGATGGAGGACGGGACGGGACCGACACTCGCGCTCCCCACAGACCCGTTGGTCTGGTCTCCCCCGGCCGCGGGGCCGTCCCCATGGTAACCGCGTCAGGCAGCGGCTCGCGAACGTTCCATTGTGTGGGGCAGGGGGACGTGGTGGTTGCGCCGGGCGTTGCCTGGAGAACCCCAGGACTCACAGTAGCAAAATGGGGCTCCTCTCCCTCCTCCCCCCAAGACCACAAAGCAAAGGGCACCTCTTCCTGGTGGAAGTGGGGGGCACGGGGGTCGACTGTCTCACCCAGAACCTCGCAGGGTCCCCTCGGGACGAAACCCGCCCCGAGTTCGTCGGATTCCGCCCAAGTCTTCTGGTGAGCCGCCCGAAGCACGGTAACCCGCCCGCCCCCGTCTCCTCGGGTTCTTCCAGCGGGGGAAACTGAGGCCAGGGCCGCTTCAGGGCCTCCCAGGGAGCAAGGGGCGGAGAGCTACTGGAGAACCAGCGCTAGATCCGGAGGCCTCACAGGGTGTTTATTATTAGATAATGAGGAAAAGCTCAGGGCCACTCGGGGTGTTTACTGGGTGCGTAGTAGGTGCGCCGGCAGGACCCATGGGTCTCCGGTTCCAACCACACCTCACTGCGTTGTCCTGGAACCCAAATCTGCACGGCCCAGCCCGGCACCGCCCAATGGAAACATGTGGGCCACATGTGTCCTTTAGAATTTTCTGGTAGCCATGTTTTAAAAAGTAAATAACAACAAAAAATCAGATGATGTTAATTTGAATATTTTATTTAACTCCAAATAGCTCAAATATTCCCATTTTTACACATAATTAATATATTCAGATTTATGCTGCTTCATTTTAAAATTAAAATAAAAAGTTTAGTTCTTCACTCACATTAACCAAATTCCAAGGGATGACTTGTCACCTGTGGTTCGTGGCTACTGTGATGCCCAGGTCTAGCCGTTTCCTACATTTCTCCTCTTGCTCCCCTCTGCTTGGAGGGAGTTTTCCACGTGGCGGCGTGTTGACTAGGTCAGGGCCCACTATTATGTCATCTCATCCACTGGGAGCCTCCCTTCAGAGAAGTGGTCAGAGTTATCATCCACGGTTACTTAATATGATTGATCAGACATAAGCTCCATTAGGGCGGGGATCAAGTCTGACCAGCTCACCATCCTCTCCGCAGTGGGAATATACTGCTGGCTCTCAGTCACTGGTTATTGAACCACCAAAGGTTAAACTGAACAAAAGTCAACCTGTTTAAGTTAGACTATGTTAACTTTATTATTATTATTATTATTATATATATTTTAATCCTCACCTGATGACATGCTTTTATTGATTTTAGAGAGAGAGGGAGAGGGAGAGAGAGGAACGTCAACGTGAGAGTGAAACATGGATGCACAAGTTCTGACTGGGAATTGGTCCCACAACATTTCGGTGTACGGGAGACGCTCCAACCGACGGAGCCACTCGGTCAGGGCGGAACATGTTAACTTTAACAGTCACAGTCCCGTCTCAGGCCAGAATATGTGCTCCACGAGGGCAGCCGTTTCTTATTCTTCCGCTCATCTGCCCCCAGGACCTAGCGCGTCAGAGGGACCCCACAAAGCGCTGGGCACAGGGCAGTTACTCAATGAAGCTAGTTCTCTGCACGTCCTTTTCCCTCCTCTAATACTGACGACAGAAACGTGCCATGTTTCAGAGAATACTTCTCCTGAAATGGCCGATGAAAG